ATGCTTGCCCAGGAAAAAATTCCCGAATATGAGGCAGTAACTAAGTGAATATTGAATTCACTCAGTCTGTTGGTACTACTACTAGAGTGAGTAAAATTTTCTACAAAAATACATGAGTTTTCTACAGAAAAAAAAAACATGAGGCAAATTGGCTCATCGTTTACGTTCCTGCACTTTTTGCGATTATGAGTAAACTGAACTCGTATTTGGGTGGATCTCATTGGCCGTGTGCCTGTTTTTGTTTCACGTTAAATGAGATCGATCAAAATTGGTGATTTTTCACTCAAAATCGCAAAAACGTAGGTTGCTCTTGGATTGAATAAATTTTCATCGCTTTTCCTCAAAAATCTGATTGAATATAAGGAAAATCGATGCAGTTTTACTTAGTTTAGGAGCATACTAAGGCTGTGTCCCAATTGCCGTGTTCAATTAACCTCGTAGTTAAAAGTGATAAATAAAAGGTTATCAATTAATCTTGCTATCCGCGTGTGGTTATTTCTGACAGAAAAATACTTAAAATATTCCTATAGTGCGGATTCATTCTTACCGGATTCCTATAGTACTGATGCCACTGGATTCCTATAGTGCGGTCGATTCTGCATTAACGAATACACGTACCATATGGGATTTGAGCTAATTGGGACCAAACAGTGATTGTACGACAGTTTGAAGAGATAACTTCCTGATGTCTGTTGAGAAGTTGTTAGGCAGATAGTTGGCCACCTCTTGGGAAAAGTCAGTTTCCGGTAAGACACAAGTCTCCACCCGTAAAAGTGGTCAATTCATGAAACTGGTCCCAGAGCTCCGCGGTTTTTTCGAAACCACTCATAGACGTCTTATCAAAATAAAGTCAGATGAATGATCAGTAAATGGACGCTGTGGACAACGGGATGGTCCACTAAAAGATCCGGAACATCCGCAATAGTGGTCAATTCATGAAACTGATCCCAGAACTCCGTTTTTTTTTTATTTCAAACCCACTCATAGACGTTTTATCACAACAATTTTGGATGCTGGGGACCACGGGATGGTCCATTTATAGATCCAGAACATCAGTAAAAGTTGTCAGTTAATGTAACTGATCCTAAAGCTTCGCGGTTTTTTCAAAACCTCTCATAGACGTCTTATCTCAATAAATTCGGAGTTGTGACCAGAAAATGTATACTGAGGACCACGGGATGGTCCACTAAAAGATCCGGCACATGAACAAACTGATCCTAGAGCTTCACGGGCTTTTAGAAACCACTCATAGACGTCTGTTCGTGCAGGTGAATTCTACTGACTCTACCCTAAATATGAAATAGCTATTGTACCTACCTAAAGATGTGACCACTTGTCCCTGTATCGTTGGCATTGCTAATATATACTGTTCTTGTTATGTTACAATAAATAACAGTCTGTAGTACTTTTACTTCCGCAATGGCAAGACGGTCAGTGAATCGATCGTACATCATTATTTTTAACTATCACACAACGTACAAATAGGGTACTATTCGTGCGCGATCAACGTCTTATCACAGCAAAATCGGAGTTTTGACCGAAAAAATTATGCTGAGGACCACGGGTTGGTCCAGTAAAAGATCCATAATTGTTCACACAATTCATAATTGTAAGACGTCTATGAGAGTTTTCGAAAAAAAATACGGAGTTCTTGGATCAGTTTCATGAATTAACCACTGTTTGTACAAAACGTGTGCAACTACCCTACCCAAATACTCATATCAATACACAAGTGCCGCAAGCGTAGTGTTATCATGCCTACCGTTCTATTGTAAAGATTGCAAATAAATTCAATAGTTCGCATGCCTCTGCCATGGCAGGATGGCCCGATAAACGACCGTGTTTCATTTTCACCATCTATTCACACAACGTAGGGAAGTTCTGCCCGTGCGCGATCAACCACTTTTACGATTGTTTCGGATCTTCCGGTGAACCATCATGTGGTCCCCAGGGTTCATTTTCTGGTCACAACTCCGAATTAATTCTGATAAGACGTATATGGGTGGTTTAGAAAAAATCAACGTAGCTCTAGGATCCGATTCATGAATTGACCACTTTTACCGATGTTCCGGGTCTTCCGGAGGATCTGACTTTCCGGATGCAAAATTGTCCCAAAAGGACGTCATCTATCTTGCTAATGTTTTTCCAGAAGACACCAGAAAGTTATCTCTTTAAATTACGCTACAATAAGTGTTTGTCCCCAATTAGCTCTATTCCCATATGGTACGAGTATTCGTTAATGCCGGTTCCTATTGTGCGGTCCCTATTAACCGTACTATAGGAATCTTGACTGTAGTTAGATTTTAAAAATCGCGGCTGAGTTCTGCTCGAAAACCGGTAAATCGATAACGCAGGGATTTTCGAACATGGAAAATAATTTTCGAAATGTCATTTACGAGCAAGGGCAATCAACTCTGCACTCTGTGCCGAAACACAGCATGATACACTGTTCGGCACATTAAGGCACACTGACAAGTGGGACAAAGGCAATGTAATATAAACTGGCATCACTGTTGAGTGTTGATGTTTTGCCAATCGTTGCTCAGGTTTAATACTTTGTTTACTCCCAAATAAAGCCAGTGAGAGAGTGTCATACATAAAACTGGTGATACAAGGATTCAATCAAGCATTTAAAAACGACAAACGGGTACCCACCGGGTGTTGAAGATCGTTCGAAAAATTATGTAAGCATTATCTGAATCATGAATCTCTTCTCTCCTCCGAATCGCAGCAAAAATCCCAGTGGATCGTGTTTTCATCTAGAACAGCTTCTATTCGGGCCTCACTTCAGTCGAGTTCATCTACACCATGACCGGTCTTTGTTGATACGGCAGTCAAGACGGCTAAAACGGTTCAAGACGATTCGTTTTCGATTGAGGATGAAATTATTGTGAAAAATTTCTGACGGTTGCCTTTGATGATAAAATCGGAAGGCCACACCACCAATTTCATCAATATCAATCGATCGACGGGGATGGTGGAGCCCCTACAACATAATTCGTTATGTTATTCGTACGAAAAGAAGAGTGCCATGCATCCTGCGAAGATCTGATTTAATTTTGGAACAATGAACATCGAGCATCTATAGCTTGATAAATACTCACATTTAGTATTAGAAAGTTCACCAAAATTCACTACGAATCGCGATTTTTTTTAATGATGAACATCGTGCTATATCGCGAACTTTTCCAACGCTGCTTAAATGCTCTCCCAAAGGTCACCCACTGGATGCCTTATTTCAGAATACACTTCTAATTTTTAAACTTAATATTTTATACTGTCGTGGGTATCCTATCTCGAAGCGTACAACGTAGGATCACGGCAGGATCTTCTGCGAGAGTTGAAGTACTTTAACAATTTTGTTATGCAGAATGATCAATAAAGAAGAAAACAAGCTTATCATACGTAGCGGCCGGATTTGAATACCGGTCTTGCCGAGTATCTTCGGGACGGAAATTTGGTACGATGGGATAGCCACAGGACTTTATAGTGATGTCCACAAAAATTTGAAAGATGTATAAGTACTGCTATCGTGAATCGTGAATCGCCCACGTTTGTCATCTGTGTGGAGCTGAGTAGATTGGGCGGAAACTTCTCGAGTTCTATACAGACCTACAGGCGCCAGATAAAGCGTTTCCGCTCAAGTCTGCGGTGAACGAGAATCCTATTTTCGAAGCATGACAGATATTCAGGGGGAGATATTTGATAGTTTTCATCGGTGCAGGGAAGGTACCACAACTAAAACAGATCGTTGTTTGGTAGGCTTGAACGGTGGACTTGGATTATATTTTTGAGGACACGCTCTTCTGAGTCGATCAGATGATTTAAAACTGGTTCGACGGTGTTGCTCCTTGCATGAGATTGAACTATCGCCCGTTCGAGTTATGGGTTTACTTTAGTCGGGAGGGATTTCATTCATCATCGATCGGATTTCTCCTTTATTTCTATACAGCTGCAAGGCATCAAGAATTCAAAAACACAGCGAGCTGGAATATTGTGGACGGGTTTAATTTGCATGATCACCGTATTGGTTTGATGGTTTCCAGTTCCTCTTCCAACTCTCAACCCGCTAACGCTCTAATGAGAATGAAGGTGAATGTTTGCCATGATTCATCAGAGAAATTGAGATTGTAAACATAATCATAAAAGTCAAAAATTTCGGGGTTGCCAAACTCATGGAATATTGACACCTTGATAGGCATACTTTGATTGTCCTTGATAGGCACGTTCGGCTCAACGCTTGGCATAGTTTTCTGCACAACTCAATCACTCGGCATAAATTAAGGTGTGCAGAGTTGAATACCCCTTGCTTACGAATTAATTTTAAACAAAGAGACTAAGTGAAACCTCTCTCAAATTTCCTCATATTAATTTTTTTTACTCAGTCTAAGGCTGTGTTCCATTTGGTGAATTTTCACTTAAATTAAAAAAAAAATTATAATGTTCGAAAATCCCTCTGTTGTTGATCGTTCGATTTTCGAGAAGGTGTTTGTCAAAATTGATTCCTTGTCGCTCAGAAATAAGTCTGCTGGAATAGCAGGTTGAATTTTTGAATTTGAAAATTTTCTATCTGTCAAATTTGAGTGAAAATTCACCAAATGGAACACAGCCTAAGCGAATTTGCGTGAACGAAACTCAAATTTCAGTTAGTCTAATCGACCGTGTTCAACGTGCATTGCATTCGCTCTCGCCCCTCTCTTTGCATTTTTCCTTTCAATAATTGGGTGGTAGCGATTCAAGACGATGGCGAGCGTGAGTTGCCTATACGATCACCCACCAACCACCCAATTCGGCAACCGGCACGCGGTGCGATGATAACTGCTCGGTCACTCACCGTCACTGTTCGGGTGGGTGAGATCCTACGCATTTTGTTGTTATTTCCCACCGACGGCCGTCGTCTAGCTAAAGTCTAATCAGTCGCAGCGCAACCTGCTTACGATGCCAATCGTCTTTCGCTCGTTCGGATTGCATCTCTTCTAGTGTTGAAACGATCTTTTGTTTCGTGCTCGCGCGCGCGTCTTTCTTGGATGATCGGAATTTTGATCGTGCTTTTGCTTTTGTACTGAACGGATAAAAAAAAAAGATGCTGCGGTGAGACCTCGGTCGGACTTGCCCTTTTCTAGATCGGGGAGGATCGAGCATTTTTATCGCATGCATCGGTGCGGACCCGGTTCGGTGATCAATGAACCGACGTAAGGTACGTCGTCGTGTCGTCGCTGTTTGTGTTGTTCTTGAGCGGGTGTTCTTCGTTTTCGCTGGTAGTAAACAGGTTTTCGTTTGGTTTTTTTTTTGCAGATTGCGGAGATCTTCAGGGAACGGATTCCGGCACCGTGAAGCCGGACGAATCGAGCTGTGTGTTAGTGGCTTTCTTGTGTGTTGATTCGAGTGCGCTCAACTGTGACAGACGACGGGAGATTGCGTCATAAGTGCGAATTTTGGCAGACAAATTAGGCAAGGGTGACCTTTGACCGGGGAGGCACCTCCGATTTGACAGATCCTTTCACCGAACGCCAGTTGGAAGGAAATGGCTTCTTTCGTGGAGAGGTGTAGTAAGTAGACAGGGACAATTAGTGCTGGTTGGATTAAAAAACTTCGACCATATGTGTGAACTGTGAGCATGGCGTCGTCATCGGTTCAGAGATTGGTCAAATCAACGGTCCTCCACTGAGGAAGGCCATTTTAAGTCACCGACGAAAAATTCGAAACGAGATCAGTGCGTGACTTCGTCAGCCTCGGCTCTCGACGGTTTATGAATTTTCAATTGTGATTCGTCTGCACCGTTTCCGAACTATAGCAGGTGAAGTGAATTGCCAATCAGGAAAGAGCCGGCGAAAACGGCGGGTCAGAAGAAAAGTTTTTTTTTTTATATATCAATTCAATTTTGAAAGTGAAACTATACGCCGGCACTGAGAGCATGAAACCGAATCGGTAAATGATCCATTACCAATGGACGATCGCGATTTGATCGTGAGTCAATATTGGCGAAGAATTTGGAGGCTGCTTTTAACCTAGAAATTGTGTCGGCAGACGAAACAAAAACAAAAAAAGAGCAAGAAATTCATCTAAATTTTGATTGAAATCCGTTCGACAGCAGATGAAAAAAAAGGTGCTCAGCCTAGGAAAAAAAAAGTGAGAAGCAAAAGTGTTTGGGCAATTATCGGTCACTGACTGATACTTGTTTTGTTTGGAAAAAATAAAAAATCGATAGCCGGTGTCTGTTCAAGCGTAAGTGTGTGCGTGTTCTGTTAGTGTCAAAGTGGATCAAAACGGAGTTGAAGAAGATCACCAATTGAAATTTGCATGGTAGAAAAAGGCGCAATCGATAAAAAGTAAAACACGAATTGAATTGCATTAGATAGATTATCCCCATTTTTTTCTGAACCGCACAAGAATTTGCCGCGGCCGGCGTGGGTGTCAGCGATTATGGCATCGTACAACGAGCTCGACTTCGAGTGGTCCATACTCTGTGGGAAGGACTACAGGAACTGGAGTCATTCAGGTAAGTGTCTTTTTTTTTTGTGTGTGTGGGAAAATCTGGTTCGGTATGCAAGCTCTTGAGTCGAGTGGGTTGCAATGGCTTAATTTGGATTCTGGCGATCTTGATAGGGTTTTGTAATTTGATGAAACCCACGGCCGCAGCACCGTGTAGCACTTAGTGGTGGCTGTAAAACAAGTTGACACCGCGTGTCAACATTTATTGCTTTGTTTACAACACGAATTAGTTACCCCTCGACGCCTGCATTCGGAAGCACTTGAATTTGCCATTTGTTGTGATTGTTTTTCCGAGCCAATCCATTTTTCGCTATAAAACAGGATGCAGCAATTGTGTTTGATAGAGTTTAACCACCGACAGGTGGAAACCTAATTAATTATTGAACATCCGACAGCGATTTGATTTGATTGGCGTATGTACAACGACTGACGATTGTCTGTACAACTCTTTGGGTTAAATTAATAAATATATTGCCATTCATATGCCAACAAGTAAGGTAATGAAACAAATATTTATGTTAAATTCAGTTCGGTAAAGTTCGAACTAACTCGAAACATTATCTTAATGTCAGTGTAATAATTCAAAATAGATTGGCTAATTCAAGTCAATTATTTTAGCAACTTGGAAATGCAAAGAAGGACGTTCAGGGATATTGAAAGGGACATTACACACAAGCTTTCGGAAGATTTCTTCGCACAAACAATCATCTAGATAAATTTTGGTAAACTTCTATGGCATGCTCAGAGAGAAGTGATCAGCGTTTTTAGCAACCATTCAAACGACTTCTAGTACAACGCCAGAGGTTGTCTATAGAACCGGTCGGTGATCTGTTGAAGGACTTATAGAAAATTTTGGAGCTCTTCCAAGTAAATTGTTGTGCATCTGTGCGAGAAAACATTTACTCAGTCTACGAGTCATAGACTTAAAAGACGTAAAATTTTCCTACAATTTCCTCATATTCAAGCGTCAAGTCTACGAGTGTACTCATAGACTTAATACACATTTCCCTGGAATTTGTGGAAAATCGAGACAAAATTTAACCCCACTTTTTATGATCCAACTCAACTTTGAGTTGGTCTGATCGGTTGTGTACGACCCTAACGATGTGACAACCAGCGTTGCCAGATTGTTTTAAAGCTTATCGGTATCAAAGGTATTAAAAATCGGTATTTACTATTTAAAACATTTTATATTTTTGCCGTTTTTGAAAGCCAAAATTTTAACAATGGTGACGACTGGGACTTGAGGGGAATTGCTTTGTTTAACGGCTTTCTCAGTCTCAAAATAGTCTTTAATTTTTTGTAATATAATTTTTAAAATTATCGTTGTCCTCAAGTGGTGATCAAAATTGTGACAAACTGGTTTTTCAATTAAATATCATTAAATGAAACCAAAATATGGAAAATCAGCCACAACAACGACTAAAATTATGACAATAATGACAAACAATATTTTCACTTGAAAAAGGTCACAACCTACATATGGCTGAAATGTCGAGCAGATTACATCGTATTCGTTGCAATGTTTTAAGACTGAGAAATCCGTTAATCAAAGCAAAATTTTAGCTTTTGTACAATGATCGGAAAATTCCGGACGAAAACTCCGGGGAATGTTTGAATTAGCTTCTGAACGAAGCCGAAAAAACATCCAGAGAAAGACGAAAGAAGCTCTCCTGGATGAAGTTCGAGCAAAGTTCTAAGAAAAGTTGGAAAACATCCGGGAAACTTCCAAGACACGAATTGAGAAACTTGTGGCGAAAATTTAAATAAACTATCGGAAAAAAATCGGATGTCCAGAAAAGTTTCGGAAGCCGGAAGTAAATTTTCAGAAGTAGCCATTTCAAGGGAAAGCCAGAAGAAGCTCGGAAAAACCTTCAGCAACCGACAGTAACTTCTTGAAGACGCTGGCAGAAACTTCCTACGGTAGATTGGAAGAAACATCTGAAGAAAGTCGGAACAGTCGAAAGAAACAAGGAGACAATTCCGGAAAAAAAAGAGATTCCTGGGAGATGTTCTATTGATCCAGACTCCGCAATTTTCCTCAAGTTTTCGGAACATTCCTGGAATTCACTTAGGAATATTCCGTAATTGCTCGAAATTCCTTAAAAGTTCTTGTAATTTTCCTGAAATTGGGGGCTGGTTAGGAGTTCTCTGGTCATCCTCGAAGTGCTCGGAACTTCCCTGATTATAATCTAGACTTTCTTGAAGATTACGAAATCTCTTAAGTGCACTCAAAATTTTCTTGAATTTATTGTAACATCAGCATTGAAGTTCTCTGATCTTTCCGTTTTTTTATTTTTTAAAAGTTACCGACACTGCCATTAAAAAGCATAGAACTTCCCATAAAATGTTCTCACAATGTTCTAATGTTCATGTAACTTCCCTTACGTTTCCTAAATTTGCGTGAGCCCCTCATGACATTAATTAATTGATCTGTCCTGATGTTCTTTGAGCTTCACTAAAGTTCATGAAAACCATTAAATTTCCCTGAAGTTCTTTGGATTTGTGAAGTTTCCAAAATATTTAGGATGTTTCCTTAAGTTCACTGGAGTTCGCTGGACTTTACTGAAATTCCCGGGTTTTCGAATTTTAACAGAAGTATATTTATTTATTTATTTATTCTATATAATTCCATCTGACTTCAAGTCTACATGAAATATGCGATGGGGAAAAGCCTTTTTGAGATAGCACATTTGACTCAAAAAGGCGTAAAAATCCCATATCTTTTCACAAAACAGTACACATTATCGTTTTCAAAAGGTATTATATGGTATACAGGGTATAAATAAAACATAAATAAGTTCTTAAAGTGAATCAACCAATAAAACAATTTTTAGGTGGCATCTGCAAACAGGTCACTCGTCAGATGGCAGGAACCAATATCGTATAGATAATGGCGAATCATGAAAAAAAAAACACCAGTTAGCACATTAAGGGCAAAGGAAGTCGACCACCCGCATAACAACGTCCGATTTGAATTTTTTGGATGAACCGTTCGCAAGAATGAACCAATTACATACACATATCCAAAACAGCAGAATGAACACAAGCGTTTGACTGTTCTTATCCGAAAAAGTATTGTTATCTAAGGACTGATCTCATTCGGTAATAAGTTCCAGAAATAGAGCAAGACCATGTTGGTTCGATTCCCGATGCAGTCTTAGAATTTGATGTATTTCAAAATAGCTTGTCTTTCCTGATCATAAGATATAATTGTAAATGCCATAAAATATGAGTGTGCCCGGCTATCCCAAGAAAACTTGCTCTATTTCTTGAAATTAGTAAAACAGTTCTCCCGGGCGCCCCGCTTCCTTTGCCCTTAAGTTGGCGTTGCAGAGTAGTGGCAGAACTATTGAAGTCAAATCTGCTGGCGATTTCGTTAAACCGACGTGTCATGAATCTGATTGGATCATGTTGTCCATAACGAGTGTGAAGGTTAGCTAAATGCAAGAAATTGCGTCGTCTCAAAGGTCGTTCTGGAACATATATATATTCAATTCGACAGTGAGTATGCGTAAGGGCCTATACGCGATGATCGATTCTCTTCGTCGATTTTCTCTTTTGTTAATAACTCGCTAGATTTAACGTTTCTCGGTGCGTTTGCTGTTGCTTTTGATAGCCAATACAACCTGTTACTACTCTGCATTAAACAAATTCTAGAAAATTATTTCACTTAGCTGTAGCAATGCAAAGAGAAAAACGATGAAGAGAATCGATCATCGCGTATTCGCCCTTATGCATACTCACTGTCGAATTCAGCGAGAATATCTGGGGCGTCAATATCGTTGGTCAACACCTTAGCCACGAATACAGCTTGCATTGTCGATCTTCTTTGTTCCAGGGTATCAATTCCCAGCAGCATACAGCGATGTTCATATGGAGGAAGATTCAGTGCGTCGTGCCAGGGTAAGTGTCGGAGGGCTAAGCGCACAAACTTTTCTGTACAGCCTCGAAGCGATCGATCCAGTTTCTATTGTATGGACACCATATTACTACGGCAGATTCCAAAATAGAGCGTACTAGGGCACTGTAGAGGGACTTCAGGCAGAGAGGATCGCGAAATCCATCAGCAAGCTTAAAGATGAACCCGAGCTGCTTGTTAGTTTTAACTTACACATCTTCACAATGCGGCCGGAAAGTGAGTTCACGGTCCAATATCACACCAAGATCCCTCACCTGATCCATGCGTTCGAGAGTTTGCCCAGATAGCTTGAGAAATATAACGGTTGACGCTATCTACTAAATGAGATCGTGTTGCATTTGGCTATACACAAATCAAGATGATTACGCTTGCTCCAGTCCAATAACCGTTGCCGCTCCAAGCAGTCTTCAATACTGGTGGACATACGCTCGACTACTCAAAAATCGACTTCGTCATGCTCAACGAGTTCCTGATGAGCTGTGATTGGAGCAGTATTCTGGCAACAAATGACGTCAACGATATGGCAGCACAATTTTGCAACATAATTTGCAATTGGCTCACCGATAACACTCCAAGACGAAAACCTCCTATATCTCCTGCTTGGAGTTCTCCTCTCCTGCGGCTTTTGAAACGCGATAAAAATTCCTGGCAGCGTAAACTTCGCCGACATCGAACTTCTGAAACGAAACGCAACATTCATCGCGCTTGCAACGCCTATCGTAAGCTTAATTCAACCCTATACAAGTCATATGTCTTGCGTGTCCAGACCAATTTACGTAGAAATCCCAAGAGCTTCTGGAAGTTTGTGAACTCCAAGCGAAAATCGTCGAATATTCCTTCATCCGTATTTTTTGGCGATTTGGAGTCTACTTCTATGCTCAAATCGTGTGATCTATTTTCCCGCCACTTCAGTTCTGTTTTTTCGGATTCAGCCGCCAACGCAGATGAAGTAGAAAGAGTGGCTTGCAATGTTCCTGAGGGTCTCATCGATTTGCGTACATTTGTGGTTAGCAATATGTATGTCGTTAAAGCTGTTAGGAAGTTGAAGAAATCTGTTTCACCGGGTCCTGATGGTGTACCTGCAA